AGGCGGCGCACAGAATCTCCTTCGACTTCTTGATGGTGTCCTCAACTTTGCAGGCCATAAATAACGCAGCTAGGGATGCATCTTGGTAGTTGTATTCTGCATCTCGATGGCAGAGACGGAAGAGGTGATAGTATGTACAGGCGGTAGTAAAGGTCTTGACGGGCCTACAAGTTTATTAGAGACAAAGTCGGCGTAATTCAAAGATGGCTGCTGCGTCGGGATCACTCACAAACGCAGGGCCTGGCGGACGGAGTCAATCAGCTGAACACCCTGTATCCTATAAGAGTCTTCCCTGGCTGGGTCACAACCGTATTCCTTCTGGAGGCGACGTATGTTTTGTTCGAATCTGTACTGGGTAGACAGGGCTATGTTGCCCGGGCTCGGACCCTTGGGACGCTCGTCGACGGGCGGGGGAGGGGTAGGTCTTCGTTGCGGCTGTGATGCTTTGGGGCCAGTGGGAGCCATTGTGTCGGAGACCTACCAGAGGATCAACGAGGGTTGACCGCGGCGGGCGAGAGGAGAGGACCAGAGGGCTGTCGTGCAGGCGCGCAACGGAAAGCTAGACCTGCGCATGCATGGACGCAACCAGGAAAAGACTCGATTCTGTTTTGTTGACAGAACCGATGTTTGGTATCATTTACAGACCGTGGAAAGCCCCAACCGGAGCGGCAGCAATCTCAGCGACGTGATGGTGTGGTGATCGACGCGAGTTGATGGCTCGGAGCTTCTGAATTGAGAGGGACGAATGTTGGAGGCGCGGTGGAAGCATTTCCCAATCTACATGCTAAGATGGGAATTCCTCCACAGCCACGATTTGATTCTCGAACGCCACACTCACATGCAAAGCAACGATAAGCGCCCCGCCAAAAACTGCAAGCATTGTCAAGGTGCAAGTGGCTGGATGGTTGCTGTGAAAGCATGCAGTCGTAGGGAACTGCTCACACAGGTGATGCTTAGTTTATAAAGCTCTACTTTCCATCGATTTGTTCATTTGATACGGGTAGAACAACAGAGAGAAGTCCTCATGTACAATTCCTGTGTGCTAAATTTCAAGTCTGCTTGCAGTCAATGACAATTGGCCAAGTAGGTAAAAATCCCTAAGGGGAAAATGAATGCACTTTGCACCATGACACTAGTGATGATACAGTTGGTGAAAGGGGAGGCTGCAGCATTAGAAGAATAAGTAGTAGTTAGTGTTTTGGTATCGAAAATATCCTCATCATAAACTCTTCCATATCCAGAAGCAGCACAAGAAAAGAAACCTTGGTAGCAAAAATGCAGGAGATGTTCACACTAGAGAGATTGAGGCCTCAGTGCCAAGCCTTCCGGAAAGACTGACGTAGCTGAGTGCAGCAATTTGCAAGTGACTTCACCGACGACTCCACTCCGCCGCCCACATGCTTTGCAATTGTCCCTTACCCAACACAACGCCCAACTGCATCTTCTGGATTACCACCTACTTGTCGCCCTCACCACCGATAGTCCTCAACGTCACTCTTGAGACCGCAAGTTTCCAGAACCATCCTCCCACTTCACTGCCGGTACCCCAAGCAATGGTCTCTTGAAAGGTTTTGCGACCCTTTCCGCTCCTATCCGAACGCTCCGCCTACGAGAGCTCGACCTCGACCTCGACCTCAGCCTCAACCTCCATTCTTCAAGCTTGTTGGCACCAAGCTCCTCCTTAGCGACACCCGTCACACCAACGCATCGTTTGAAGCGCATATCCTCATCCTCTCCATCATGGGTAACGGACGCAGGGGTGTCAAGTTCTCCCACAGGAAAGGCAATGGCAGCATTGAGGGGCGGAGGCCCAGCATGTCCGAGGCCAGTGAGGCAAGCCAGGACGGTGCCTCGCCTTCTCGCGCAAGGTTGTCGCCGCAGATTAAGGACATTCCTGAGGTATGATTGCTGTCCAGTACCGTTGACTTTGTCCTGATACCCTGCTACATCTCCGCGCATGCGCCTGCACATGCTAATTAGCTGCTTGCTATAGAAAGACGCCGCAACCGTACAAGGCGACTATGAGAAGAAAAAGGCAAACTTCATAGAAAGAACACTATGGACTCTGATCATGATTGGCGGCTTCTTCGCCGCCCTTTTCATGGGCCATATCTACATCATCCTGATCATCACCATCATACAGATCATCTCTTTCAAAGAGGTCATTGCTATCGCAAGCGTCCCCACCCGAGCCCGTCAGCTGCGCTCCACGAAGAGTCTCAACTGGTATTGGCTGGCCACCACCATGTACTTTCTCTACGGAGAGAGCGTCATATACTACTTCAAGCATATCGTTCTGGTCGATAAGATCTTGTTGCCTCTGGCTACCCACCATCGATTCATCAGCTTTATGCTCTACATCATCGGTATGTTTGGCTGTGCGAAAACGCAGTTCTGCTTGCTTTCCTCCCAAAATATCACCGCAATTGGCACCCGAATTTTGCTGACATCAAGTATCATAGGTTTCGTTTTCTTCGTCACGTCTCTGAAGGCTGGCCATCTCAAGTTCCAATTCACTCAGTTCGCATGGACACATATGGCCCTCTTGATCATCGTGGTACAGGCGCACTTCATTATGAACAACATCTTCGAAGGCTTGATATGGTTCTTCCTTCCCGCTGCTCTTGTCATCACAAATGATATCTGGGCCTACATTTGCGGCATCACATTCGGTCGTACACAGCTTATCAAGCTCTCGCCCAAGAAGACTGTCGAGGGCTTCGTGGGAGCATGGGTCATGACGGTCATCTTTGGATATCTCTTGACGAACTTGATGCTGCGCAGCGGTTACTTCATTTGCCCAGTCACCGACTTTGGCGCCAATGTCTTCACAGGCCTGCAGTGCGACCCCAACCCGGTCTTCCTCCCGTATACCTACGAGCTTCCCCACTTCGTCTTTCTACCTGCCAACACCAAGTTCAGTATCACGACGGAGCCCATGCAGATCCACACCATGATCTTTGCGACCTTCGCTTCTCTCATCGCTCCATTTGGTGGTTTCTTTGCATCTGGCTTGAAGCGAACCTTCAAGATCAAGGACTTTGGCCACTCGATTCCTGGTCACGGTGGCATGACAGATCGAATGGACTGCCAATTCATCATGGGATTCTTCACCTTCATGTACTACCACTCGTTCATCGCTACCTACAAAGTTGGCCTCGGTGGTGTCATGGAGCAAGCCATCACCGGCTTGACTGTAGATGAGCAGATCGAGCTAGTGAGGAACATGGCAAGGTATTTGGGTAATCAGGGTGCATTAGGCAATGATGTAAGTCAAGATGCTCTTTTACCTGTTGCTTCGAGATCGCACCTCCACCCCGTTCTTTCATTTACTAACTTTCGATCGTTCAGGTGCTTTCATGCCTCGACCAGGCTCTGCCGGTCAAAAGGTGAGGTGTATTGCGGATCCGAGTCCGGCCAAAGGGCCACTATCTGAATTTGACGACACTTGCTTTCATGAACGAATGCATATTGAAGCATACATAATACTTTTTTTTTCCTTTCCTGTGCAACAAAAAAAAACATAGTGGCAGCCCATTCTGGGCTGGGCTGTTCTCGGTGAGCGTGTCATGAACCAGAAGCCTTTTCCCGAGCTGTCTTCAGGGACAGCGCCAGAAAATTTGAAGTGTAAGGGGGTTTTGGCATGGAGCCAAAAGCGGAGGATAGGATTTGTTCTCCTCTCTGTCTTGTATCATACCCATATATTGGCTTTGGCTGCTATTGCGCCAAAAGAGACGAATGGATTACTTACTTTGGTATACTATGGAAGTATGTGTTCCAGTGCTGTCAATGCAGTACCGTGCCCTGTTTGCTGGAACTCCTTCAGCTTGGACTGGTCTTGCAATGAAAAGAGAGAGCAGGATGAGAAGGTCACAGACCAGATTTGATCATTCTCAATATGCAAGTCAACTTTCTTATCAAAAGCCGGGCCCACAGTGTCACGGGTTTTTTTCTCACCACTATATCCCACTCCTCTCTACACATGAACTTCTCAGTACAACTAGCTTCATTCGTAGCTCAAGGTATGAAGTATTATTCGAGTTTCAATGAGTGCTGTGACAGACTCGAACAGGGCTCGGATATGTGAGATAGAGCTACGCTGTCGTATAGTGATTATACTTGCCTGGCTGTACACGTCACCTCTAACCATCTCTTACACCTCCTTAGGTAGCTCTGACGGGTGTTTGCGTCCCTCTTAATATCAAGCCCAACTCTACTGGCTAGCTTCAGCGTTCGTGCTCAATTAAAGAGTCCCACGTATGGCCCCACAACACGGGTATAATCCACCGACATTGATGATTATAAGGGCAGGGATATTCCATCTACCACAGCCTGTACTGATCAGTGCCGGTCGAAATAGTGGGCGGCTCATGGCAACAAGCCATATCAATGTGTTGAAAGGTCATACGGACATAAAACAACCCTTCACGTACCTAGGTAGGTACCTGGTTCTTAGCAAGCCTTAGCTACCTACATTTGCCGAGTCCTTGAGTAGCAAGAGGTGGGAAGAGAAAAAAAGGCCGATGTCGACGCCCAACGGCGTATTTTGTTGTAGTGAGATCTCAGAATATATTGCCCCGGCGTCTTTTTGACGAGCACATAAACAACAACATCGTATTGGAGTTCGTTATGCCGTGTCTAGAATCTGCTGCGATGAGATCCGGCAACAAGCTACAAGACATTCTAGTTCATCTTCGCATCGTTCATTGCATTTTGTATTCCGACTGCCTAGGTAGTAAAGGTGGCCCAGCGACAGCCAGCGTTTTCACATGTCGTGACAGACAGAAATGGTGGCAGCACAAGGCTCATTATCGTCCGAGACATCAATCTTGTTACTCTTCTTCAACCTTCATTTCTTTGGTGGCTGCTTGCTCGATGGAACTCCTTTTCACCTTGGTGAAACGTCACTTTGCCAGTCACACCTCGGCCGCACTGCCTCGAGATCAGCAATATCGTGTATATAATTGATCTAATTTTCGCTTTTTTCATCAGGAAAACAAGGTTCCGTGGTGTAGTGGTTATCACGCGTCATTCACACTGCCGAGGTCGCCGGTTCAATTCCGGCCGGAATCATCCTACCCAAATCATTTTGACAGAATTTATTGTTTTTGTTTTTGTCTTTGCGCGGCGATGCTATTCTGCGATCTTCAATTTTGCAGATCATTCGTACTTTCCAACTAGGCGGGACGTCATCCTATTTTCATGGGTGAAGTGTTGATTTTGAAAAGATACGTGACGAGCAAGCATTACACGGGCTGTTTGAGGCTGAAGTTGCAAGGTTGCCGAGGAACAAGCTCAACGTAGACCAGAATTTTGTATGCGAGGGTTTGCTAACATCCAATGAGCCACAGTGAGTATTCAAGCACTGAGGTATCCAACAGTACCTTTAGAAAGAGAGTGCTGATTGACATAGCACCTTCATCCTCTAACTGGCGAACATTGGAAAAGCTAAGGGGAATGAGTCAGCAAGATTTGCTGGGATCAGCTTTCCCGAGTCTCTGGAACTCCGGGTACTTTGGTATGATCCCGCACTGCTCATTTGTGTTTAGGGCAAGCGGCGAAAACATTTCATTCCTGGGTGCACGAAATAGTGTCTCAGGCCCCCCATGGACGTCTTACATAAAAAACCTCTCCCTTGTACAAGATGGCGTGGATGACCAAGAGATGGCCCGATGGGTTTCCCAAAGTTCTATAGCCCACATCTCTGTGGAGCAACCCAAGGGATGTTGTCCGAACTCTACACGAGGTGATCCTGTGAGTTTATTCTGCATAAGGTCTCTAACCTAGAGATGGTTATGGGCACGGTCCCCAGGGGCGAATCCTTCGTGGCTTAGGTGGGTCGGCTCACAAGTACAGCCGCCTGCCCCCGGGTAATTGGCGACTGAGAAAACATTTTTTTCGAAACTGCGAAGACCACACGTCGTTGGGTTAGTGAATCCTTCCAAAACACACAGTACCCGGCCTTTTGTGGAAACGGTGATGGAAATGTAACCTCTAGTAAAAGGGGGGGGTGATGATGCTCTTGTCAAGTTGCATAGCAAGGCAGGCACGGTCGTACATTCAAGCCACTATAAGGTCGGTAATATTAAGATTAAATATATCCTAATTTCGTACCCATCTTTTTTTTTCAGGAAGATCCCAGACTAGCGCAGGCTGCCACATTCGAAAGCTACCGATGGAGACTAGTGTCGTCCCAGCTTGGTAGAAGGAGAGCATCAATTTGCTAAACGTTTTGCTCAGCTACACTGCCCTGATCAATATGAGCTACAGAGCTTTCACTCTTCAAGGAATTGATCCTTTGTTGACGATCTCCTCATTCCGATCTACGGCATCTCGTTGTCTAGCATGTCTGGAACAACTTGGCCACCGCGGTGGCGACTGCGTCTTGGGCTACGGGCGGCTTGTGAAAAGTCGCACTCCTTGAAAGAAGATGCGACTGAATGCACTCGGCAGGGTTTTTACAACATCATTCGCTCAATCTCGAGGACCGCTCATCTCGTTTAACGTTGTATTTTTTATGCGGTCTTTCCGATGGCGGCCATTGGTTTCAACGCCACTAAGCTGAATACGGCCAAGCTGAAGAGGCTCCCGAGGGCTGGACGACGCCCAAGCCCTCGTCCTGAAGAAACAGCTGAAATATGGAGTAACTCAAGACAAAATGAGCCTAGTTTCTTCCTTTTCTGCCTGGGCGGGCTGCCTGGGCACGACGATTGTGGAATGCCAGACTTGTCTTCATTTTTTATATATTGCCTTTCCTCCCTGCCTCTTCTGGTGGTAGATGTATGTTCTGCAATTCAAGCCCATTTCGAACTTCCCTTGACCTGCCGTGAGGAAAGATCCGACCACCAAGTATTCATCCAGCATATCCTGAGCAGAGAGTGAGACTTACCCACCATGCATCCCTCAACCATTCTTCTGGCGACTCTCGCCGCCACCGTCTCTGCCACAATTCCCCTCCACCTACGCTTTGTAGAGGCTCGGCAAACGGATACCCCCTCCGCCTCCCTTGACTCTCCCACGGCGTCGGCGACAGACGAGTCTGCCTGTGACTCAGCCGCCGACGATATCGACAGCATCCTCGCAGATGCACCAAGCGTTCCCGATGGTCTGGCTTCATATGCCGCCACTGCAACCGATCTCATGACCGCGGCAGACCTCTGCTCCTATCCCTTCCCCACGTCGGTCGCGTCCGAGTGGTCATCTTATTCCTCTGCTTATAATTCGTGGCTCTCTGCCTCAGCAAGCTCAGAGCTAAATTCAATTGCATCAGCATGCGGCACCACGATCGCCGCGTCTGATCTCAGTCTATGCACATCTGACGCTGGCGTTGTTGCGGGCACGGCCAGCGACAGTACGGCTACCACCACAGCATCGGACGCTACTGGACTGACAACGTCGACGACCGGGACTGCTACCAAGACTACGGCCTCGGGTAGCTCTGGTACTTCCCAAGGCTACGGTCACATCAACCGCGGGCGCTGTTGCGCGAGAGGTGGGAACTGTTGGGGCTATCTTTGCTGGTGTATTGGGAGCTATTGTTGCCCTGTAAATGAACAGTGTGGGTACTGCGTATGCTTGGATATGTGCTGTATGAGACGCGAGCAAAGACTGCAAATGAAGGGGCGGTACAGAAGGGAGGAAACCCAAGAAATTGGTGAGGACTGACTATCCAGCCCTTGTTATACTACCTATCAAAGACATTCAGACACTTGATTTGTTTCATGATGTTCCATGTAGCCCATCCGCATCCACGGTATGTAGCAATACCAACATCAGGGTTTAGTCCGTCTCGATTTGCCCACATGGGGCAAACTCCCTCTGCGTCGTTCGTCCATAGTGTGGCCATTTTCATTGCCCTTCTCGGCCTCCCTCGTGGATCCTAATGGCTGCCCCGATTACATGCCACGACCCCACCCTGGCGTACGGCGCAGATTTTGTATTCTCAACAAGGCTGCAGTTCAGCCAGTTTACTCGGATCATGTTTTGATACAAAACGGCGCTCGGGGCAAAAGTGAGAGGAAAAATAAAACTCTTGCGCGTATCAGAGCGTTTTGCGATTATGTGTGGTGAGCGTCACGCCCCTACGCCGGGCCTCGCGTTGACTATGCTCCTGCTAAAACAAAGCCTGTAGTTTGATGAAGTGAGTGTGGGCACGGGCTCGTATGAATGAGATTTCGCAAGGATGATGTTTTTTTGGTCTCTTTGACTAGTTGGGAATGAGACGCCACATTTTCTTTGCCGGCCATTGATACACGGCCTTGTCCCTTGATGTCAGATACAATATCATACGCAAACCCCCAAATGAAGGCGGTAGAACCTCATTCGCGTGAACAGAAATCTCAGTGAAAGTCTCCGTTGGCATAGCTTAGTACCGCCTCTGACATTGCAGGAGAATGCCGATCAACAGGTGCGTTTCGTTGGGGAAAGCTGCCCTACAGTCTCTGCTGCAGGACAGAAGGACGCGGTCGCGGTTTTGTGGAATTGCAGAGGCTCGTCCGTCACTGGGGGGCCTCACGAAACATTGCCGCAACGGGGCCACTTTGGGAACTCGCAGGTTAGCAGTAGAGTTTCGATTTGATGGGCGTCTTACTTCGGCTTGTCTTTGCAACAATTTAGTTGAACAAGTATTGACCAAAGGCCAGTTGGCGATTTAGGTGGCGTGGCAGCGTGCCTTTTCAGTAGGTCAAGAGCGGTGAAAAAGAGGGTGGAGCATCGGCAGTATCGTCAGGCCTGGCAGGAGTGTTCTATCCCGGTCGATTTTCATGCATTTGCTTGGAGCCGCAGCAAGGTTCACAGTCATGTACCAAAAAAGACGTGTCCAACGGTCCCTGCAGCCAGCCAAGGGGCCGGCTCCGCTACCTGTCTGGTCTGTACACATGTTTTCTCGACTGATGGTAGGGTCCGTTTCTTCCCGAGGGTGGCCTGATGAAGGATATTGGGCCTTTCTGGCCGTGCGTGCTGTGCTGTCAAGCGAGAGCACAGTCTGTCTCAGACATTTTGATGGTACAGTTCAAGCAAATCCGAGAATTGCCATTAGTCTTGACGATCCGTCCTAGTGTGGCAGAAATGAGTCGTGATAGAGGATATTTGTTTGGTAGCTTCATTCTGAGGTTCCTTAGTTGAGGTGAGCATACCTACCTCTTTTGAGTTCAGTCTCAAATAAATGCGTCAATAGGATCACCAATGTTCTTGCTACAGTCGATACGTTGGACCGCTGGTGATGTTAATCCGAAATGGTGACAGAGAGCAAGTGGGCGGGAAGCAAGGTTCGGTGGTGTCATGATGGGGAAAGAATTTCTTTTCCTATACGGCTTTAATCAGAATGAGGATCGAAAAGTCCCGATTGAGGCTCCACCGAAGAATTCGTGAGGCTCCACCTGCAGGGCTGAACATAGTTAAAATACTATGTTCGTAGAGGAGCGCAATGCAGATGCGGGCCCGGACCCGGCTTCGGCAGTGTGGGTCGACCGGGTAGAAGCGAGCGAGGGTCCTCTCGTGTCGCGAGCTTTCTCGTGCGGCCCGAGATCATGACATGTCTCGAGCACAACCCTTGTCTTTCCATATGTCCTTTCTTGAAGTACCGCCTTACTGTCAGACGTCTTATCTATGCGGAGTTATTCTGCTAATCGTCCCCGATCTCTGTTACAGCGAGACTTGAAGCCATCCAGAGCCGGACCCATCTGTATCCTCTTCTACGCCATTGTCTGCCCATACTTCATCGCACCACAAACTTGCTCGCGCTGGGCCCCCTGGCACCACTCATACTCATTCTTGAATTGGATCTTGGTCACCGAACGCCGAGCTTGAAACAGATCGCGAATTCCACCGATCCACTTGCGAGGGTTGACGCCGGCAATCATCGACCTTGGATGCCCATGCCAGCTCCGGCCAATACAGCTAGTATAAAGCCAAAAAGATCACCACGTCCTGCCCCTGGAGAGTCTTTCAACATATACGCAAGACTCTTTGACAAAACCTTTTCTGTGCTGGTGTATTCTTTTTGTTTCCAAGACATTGAACGGCCTTATCGCTTGCTTGTCATTCCATAATGGCCCCCACAAATATCGACGACC